GCTCAAACCATATTTGTCATGGCGGGATACATTTGGAGAGACTAAAGCCTAGTATAGATGGATCGCAGTAGCATGATGATGAGCCGAGGACTATTCAGCAAATCCTACAGTCCTGCCTTCAAAGAAAGCCTCTTTCGGCTTCCAGTAAGACCGGTTTACGAGTATCTTCCAATCAACTTTTTCTTCGAAATCTGCCATCATCTGACATCGAAGAGCTGGATTTCACTTCAGTAAACAATTGAAGCCAACCAGTCGTGCCTAATCCTGTATTCTGTGTGTGTCTATATGCATTCATATTTGTATTTGTAGATACTCTAACTCTGCTTATTCTTATGAGGTGTGAAATGATTCGGCTAGTACATGTTACATGTCAATTTATGAGCATGTCTTTGCATGCGTATGTCGGGAATGGGCCGGTAAACTTTCTAGACTGAAAAACTTGGGTTAATGGTAGAAATGGAGCCCCACTATGATGCGGTCTGTGGTCAGGCATGACGAAGGAAGCCTCAACATGTATTCATCGGGACAAATGGAGATTTTTCATTAAAAAATAGATCATACATATTAGATGCATTCACTCTAATGCGTTAAAGATAAGAAAGGAATGATAGTCGAATTTTCCCACAATCAACTGAGTAGACCTTACGTTTCCATCGAGACTATGCGCTGCATTACCGGGTTTTGAGTCCTGCTGGGGGCTCTGATAAAACAAGTTCTGGCAAGGTCAAAACTGCATTCCCCTCTAGCCGAGATTAAAATGCCTTTTGGGGAGCAACAAGGCTGTATGAAATCCAATGGACACACGAGGCCTACTCATCTGATTGTGGAAAAATTCAACTACCAATCCTTCATAGGCCTAAACGAAATAGAATGAGTACGTTTCATCATAAAAGCGATCGCTTCGAGGAGGGTCTTAATCGGAACATTGCATCAAATCCAAAGGATATTTGACAAATGAAATCCGGAGCCGGCTTTGACTAAGTCCAAAATATATGAGTTGTGTTCATTCTATTTCGTTTGGGATGATGAAGGTCTGGTAGCTGAATTTTTCCAAAAGGTGTTCTCATCCAGCTTGAAGTGGACTGCCATTTCTACCTCGAATAGGTCTTATCAACGCCCTCAGCGGGACTCGAACCATGACAGTGCTGCCTGAAATCTCGACACGTTAATCACTACGCCACATTTTCACGGGTGAACCTGGGTCAGAGGGCAGATGTGAATTTCAAGGAATGTCAGACATTTTTAACATCACATTCTGTGTTTGGATTGTCGATGAAGCAAACTTATAATTGCTATAGCAATCGACGACATTACTTTTGTCGTGAGTGAGTAAGCATATTGGTTACCGTGGGGGTGCTGATAAGACCTATGCGATGTCGAAACTACAGTCCACTGGTGCCTGGATGATAACACCTTTTGGAAAAGCAAGGCTATATCAAATTCCATGGAAAAGCTCAGCTCTAATCATATCATTGTGGGAAAATTCAACCAACAGACCTCCATCACATTAAACGAAATAGGGTGAACACAAATCATCTACCTGCTTTGCTGGTAGTCTCGAAAACCAACTTACTCACAAAATAAGTTCACAATACAAGTGAGCTCGGCAACGCTAATTGAATACCATTTAAATGAATAAATAACGATAATAATAATAATAATAATAATAATAATAAATGCATGCGATGTAAGTAGTGCAAAGAAAGATAGTTCCCGATTTCAAAGTATACCTCGAAGAGGCCGGATTGAATGAGGCCGGTAAGCAAGAGGGCTCGATACGCCTCGAGAAGGTCTGGTTGGTTCGGGTCTATCCGATGAACTGAAAGGAGTCTGAGGCCTTCCGCCGCCACGAAGCCGCCGGCAACGTTCCAGGCCGTCGAGGGCGCAGGACGTGGCGCCAACGCCAGAAGGGCATCCGGATGTACCTGCAAGTGTGGCTCAGAGGCTGCCGGCCGGTTCACAGGCAACCGATCGCCCAATTGCTTGAGCCTACCGGTCAGACGGTCCACAGCGCCCTCATTAGCCAAGAGGCTGGCTGTACATTGGATAGCCGAGATGGGGGCAGATGCGGCCGGCGCCACGGTTGCTAGGGCCTCGGCGAGTCCGAGGATGGCAGGTTCTAAGTCGCGTACAAGCGGGTGTGGCAATGGCAGATTCGGGAAGAGGCAGTAGAGAACATCGAGCACCTGATTCTGGAGGAGTTGAAGAAAAACAATAAAGTACAATTTATACCAGACCCTCGTGCAAGATCATGCAATCGTCTGCTCGCCAGGTTCCAGCCCGAAATTGTGGAAATCAAGGCGCGAGGTAACAAAGCCGGTCACGCAAGTTTTTCACAAAATTGAAAGTAGACATTCAACAAAGATGCCGACCACCTGAGGCCAGTTGGACGATTGGTGTCCAAATGAATCTTTCGGCGCGTCCATGACAACAGAACCGGGTCTCGGAGACTGGACAAATGACGGCAAAAAAAGGCAAGCGCATGAAACCGACAGAATTTAGGCGAAAAAGCTGTCTCTTTCCACCTTTTCTTGGGCAAGTTTACACGTTTTTTCGAGAGTGAATAGGTGTTCGAGACTACCGTTTAGGGTCATGAAGAACTGGTAGTTGAATTTTCCCATACAACTCGCATATCCGATTTACTGGTAGTCTCGACAACCTACTCATTTACGATAAAAAAGTAATGTCGTCGATTGCTTCATCGACAATTCCAGCACAGAATGTAATATGCAAAATGCCTGACCTTGGTTTAAATTCACACCTGCCCTGTGACCCAAGGGCGCAAGTGTAAATGCCAGGTAGTGGTTACATGCTGCACTGTCATGGTTCGACCCCCACTTAGGGTGATGATAAGACCCATTCGAGGTCGAAACTGCAGTCCAATTCAGCCTGGATGAGAGCACCTTTTGGGAAAGCAAAACTGTATGCAAAATTCAATGGAAACGTCAGCTCTACTCATATAATTGTGGAAAAAGTTAACTACCAGTCCTTCATCACCTTAACCAAAACAGGATGAACACAACTCAAGTTTACATGACCCAATCAAGACATGACTGTGATCAGATCTGTGACACACGAAAAATCGTATGTAGGCATCCCGAGTCTTTTGGCAAGAAGGCCCATGGCGACGGTGAATGCCTGGAACGGATATGAACGGGACCAGCCAGCAATCGACGAACTACAACACATACAGGTTTAGCTCAAATGCAAGAAACATGGCGCCAGTCGACGTCGATGCAGAGACAGATACTGCTTCATTTGCGGAAATCAACAAAAGTAACTCAGAACTAGAAGATTTCCACACTACTCCTACATCTACTCATAGCCTCGAGTGTCCCTAATACAGAATATAAGTAACGTGATCCGCTGTTATGACATAATACGAGTTTGGAAAATATGAAGAAGGGCTGCGTTTCGAAAAATCGCTTTCCTTTGTTAATTAGCTTCACCGGAAGCAGAAAAAGGAGTATGTTTGAGACGTTACTTTAGAGTTATGCGGGGTCACGAGCCTATTCGCAAAACTCTACAGTAACAACTGCAAGGCACCCTTTCTTCGATTCCTGATGGTACCAATTAACGAATCCAATTTTAAAAAATACGAGTTTTCCCACTAAAAAATGTGATTCGGAAGAATTCTAGTTTGTCTCAAAGGTCACTTTTGTAATGTGACCAACTGGCGTTCGTCGATGTGTAGCGAAGTGGCAACGTGTCGTCATGATGCTCATGCCCGGGTTTCGAAACCCGTTTGGAGTGCCTATAAGACGCAGGCGAGATAAAAATCGCAATCCAGCCTTTGGGAAGCACGAATAACTGAATTTAAATGGTACCGTGAAGTCTATTCATATCATTGGAGCGAAAACTCGCTTATCAGCGCTTAAACCACTTTAAACGACTTAGTTGACGAAATTCCCACTTAAATGTATGCCAATGAGACGGAAAACAAAAACTATCTGAATAATTGAGGACAAAAAATTGGAATAAAAGCTTTAGAATTATAAATAGTGAAAAAAATTTAGGGAGGTAAATTGTGTTCTAAGAGTTGCTAGACCATAAATCAAATGTTGCAGTCTTATGGCTGGAAGAGTGCTGAAAATTCCTCTTACTACAGCTTTAACACGATATGCTAATAAAATGTGTAGTTGACAATAATTTTCCTGGTTCGATGCTGCCACGAATCTATCGTTGTCAAGATCGAATAAATTAGACTATCTGGTAGTCACGAAACTCTACTTACATACGAAAAATAAATTAGACTAGTTTTTGTACTGCAAAAGTAAGCATTCTCTTCAGTACTCCGTAAACATAGTCAACATAATAGGAATCCCCAAACCAAACTATATGAATACACCCACGCACAAATTTCATTCGTTATTTATGTTCATACTGAGTAAATTTTGAATAAAGTTCGCATCAACCCAAATCACTGAAGATGAATATGAAGGGTGCTGATAGTAATAGCAAATACACGTTTGCCTCTTCGACAATCCCGCAACAAAAATACGATACGAGAAAAGCCTGGTTTCCCTTGTAATTTACGTCTGTTCTGACCCGCTGGAACCCGTGGCAATGTGGCTTAGTGGTAATATGTCCCATTCCTATACCACTTGGTTCGAGATCGAATCTGCAATCTAGACCAGCCTAGCTAAGGATACCTTTCGGTAGGCAAAATCAAATGAAATTCAACGGAAATAAAGAACTACTCAATTCAATTGCAAGTAGTCGGTTAAATTGAATGGAAACCTGAGACTTATTAATATAATTGTGGGAGAATTCAACTATCAGTTACACATTACTTGATTCGACTTATGGTGAATGCAACTTTTATTCGAGGTATACTAGTCGTTTGGAAATATACTCATTACGACCACAGTTAATGAGTGCTATTTGATGAAAACCTGATATCGGTTCATAACATTGTGCGGAAATTAAGCTGTCAGTCCGAAGTTGAATACATCTCTTAATTAGACATTTGATTGCTGATAAACAAAACGGTTACTATAGGCAGAATTAGCCAGCTTTTCTACAGCGTCGTATTTGCATAATCAACTTTCTGATAAAATCTGCGAAAAGTATAGAGGAGGCACCAGAAAGCGCTTGGTCTGAGCGATTGAAAGAGTGAATTTGTCGTGCCTGGAGGCGTTTGACAGTGATGGCAACTTCGTTGGCGGGACGACCAACTTCGAGACAATTGTGTTCGGAATTTTGTGACATGATGTCTCTAAGTGGTGACATCGCCAGCCGCCAGGTCAGGGCGACAGAGACGGCCAAGACCAGGTTATAGCAGTGGAGTCCGGAGTGAGTGGTAACCTTGCTAAAAGCTGGAGGGTCAAGGCGGTGGGTTCGAAACCCGCCGCGGAGCGTGCCGACAAGAGCCTGTCGGAGTCGAGACTGCGGTCCAGCCCGAAGGAGAAGGGAAGCCCTTTAGTATTCAAGGTCAGGACAATGTTCACTGACTGCAGTTGCAAGACCCAGCACACGACAGACGTTGCCAGAAGGAGTGTACAATAAAAAACATGTGAAATTCGAAAAAAGGCGTGGCTTTTGATGCGAAAGATGCCTAGAAGGAGACGAATCAACTCACTCGCATTGTAGAGTTGCCCAGGGCCAAGGCGGTGAAGACTGTGCGCAAATGATGGAAGCCTCGGTCCATCAGAAAGAAAAAGCCTGACATGAAGAAGAAGTAGAAGAGGGCAATCAAAAGGGGAATGTAAAGAAGCATACCTCAAAACGGAACAAAATATTAAAGATAAACTCATGCAGGAAGCGGCCGCGAATGTCTGGAGAAACTGGTCGTGTTGAGGATGCTTGTAAGTAGACTTCCGAGACCACCGGTAGATCTTGAATAAGAAGTGTGTTCTCGCAATCTGGCCTAAGATGATGAAGCGTTGGTA